TCGCGCTCGGAGAACTACTAATGTCGGCTTATGCCTACGTATTCCTTGATCCTCACCTTAGTGGTGCCGTTAGGAGTATCGAGAGAAAACTGTACAACTTTGTTAAATACTGTATGGCACACATTCGAGAGAAAACCGCAATGGTTAGTAAATGTACCAAATGGGCTAATTTAGCCTCTAGAAAGAAAGGCATGCTTTCAGAACGACTTCTAGCTAATATTAGCAAGCCAAAAACGAGTGCTGATTATCGTTTATCGGTGGAGTACAGACACTAAGAATAGGTACTTAACCTAAAAGTATTAAGAAAATTCGTGGGGAGCGACGTAATTTGGTGGTTTACTACAAGTCTGGATCATAGCTTCGCATTCGGCAAGTCATCAGTTCCATTTCGGGTTCACCTGCTCCAGTTTCCGTATATTTTTTAGGAAAATATTCTAGGGTATTAATATTCCATCTGTTTCCATTGCGTAAGTCTTATCTGTCTCTCCTTATTCCTAAAAGAACTCATTCTACCCTATTTCCGGCTTTGCACATTAGTGTAGGTGGGAGAAACTGACATGAGACATGATAGTTCAGAATAAATTTCGTGTGAATCAAAATATTATTCAAAGTAGTATGTTACATATTCCGCATTATGTACTGTTTCATCATAATGGGCAAATAAGCTGAAGGTACGTTCTCAGTCAATTGAGTATATTTAAAATACCCAAGTTAATATCCCATCTATTGTAATGGTGTGCCCGTAGCGCCTAGACAGTGAAATAAATTGAAAATTAAAATACCTCGACGGGATGAACAAGATGGTGAAGGAATCACTGTGGCATCTCTCATGTGTGATCTAAATCAGTCAATTAAATGGCAAAAACAAAACAACAGCGGTCCTGTACCTCGGACGACCTTCTACTCCATTTTTTGTTATACTCTTACCTTGTTACTTGTAGGCACTTTGTACCGATCCCATAGTATTCCCGAGATAAAAATGTTCAGTCTTCCCAGTCTCCCAATGCGAGACTCGAGTCTCCGTCTCTCATCGAGTCTCTTTGGTCTCACTGAGAGAGAATGTCGAGAGACTGTCAAAAAAACTGTTTAGCGTCTTTGAACGAGAGACTCGAATCGCTCATAGAGAGATCCTCATTTCGTATCCAGTCTCCGAACGAGAGACTCGAATCTCTGAACGAGAGACTCGAATCTCTCAATAAGTGGTGTCTAGATAGACATGATTAAAATTTTATAAATTCAACATATTTCAGAGATCCCAGTCTTTCTACGAGAGACTCGAGTCTCTCAATTTTTCAGTTTTATTCATTCAGTCTCTCTGTGAGAGACTCGAATCTCTGAATTAACAACTTTATCGTTCGAGTCTCTATACAGAAACTGTGAGAGATCCATAAAAACAGCTAGCCAATAACTGAGAGACTGTGAAAGACTGTGAGAGACGCTCTCAGAGACGCTGAAAGACTCTGAGAGACTTAAAATTTTTGTCTAGGTTGATACTAATTCACATATAAATATGAGTTTAAAGATGATATTCTGAACTTTTAACAGCTGTTTTTCATCTTCTCTATCAAAAATTGGAACACTGTTCCAGTTTTAATTGTTGATATTTTTGTAATCCTCGAGATTGAAGCGAAGCATATTTACTTGAGTAGTTCTTGGTAAGTGAAGTTTCAACTTTAATGGCGTAAAAGGCTCTTAAAGGTACTTACATACATTTCAAGTACTCATCCACAACTCTCGTCCTTATCTTACAGGAACGTGCATCGTACAACGTAATAACGGACAACTCGATCCGCCTAGTAACCTTCTGAGGAAAACAGAATACTGCTTACAAAGCAAATAGAACGAAAGAATGAAAGTAACTGCCATGAATTCTAAAATTCTCTTTCTTCGTATTTTCCGATAGAACATACATGTAATTCACTTATTAGACCTAAAAAAGGATATAAAAGGGGTAACTTTGATACCAGAGGATATAAAAGTGAAGCAGTTTTCTAAATTGCTACAAAAAAAGTGTGAAATAAATGCCTTTTGTACGTATAGTAGATATTCCTTATTCACGGTTTCCTTATTCGCGTTTTTATTATTTGCGGATGAAAAAATTGCAACCCAGTTCCTGTATTCGCGGTTAAAAAATTCATTGTTCGCGGTTGCAATCGGTAAACAGAAAAGGATTCGGTGTCATTTATTAAGGGGATTGGCCGCAATAGACCGCTCGTGCCTAGTGTGAATTTTTCCGAAAACATGGGTTTTTATTCTAAACATTGAGATTTAACGCTGCGAGATAAATATCTACTTTTTTGTATGGTAACAGACAAAGGTTCACACTCATTCGGTACGTTTTTAGTTATCAATAATATGATCACTAAAAGGTTTTACAAGTGCTTACATTTGATGCTTCTTGTAGGACACGTATTTTCAGTAGAAATTAAAAAATTAAAAAATGGCGATCGACAAGCTTTAGAACACAGCTTTATCTATATTACTATAAAATTTCAAACCTCTGTTCCAAACATTAAATTCATGATATCTAGAACCGATAAGCATCTACGACGCGTGTACTACTGAATCCCCTTAATTTAAGTTACAGTTGGTACGTCCCGAAGCGGTTTTTATAAAAAATCTAACCTAGTAGAAAAGGATTCGGTGTTATTTTGCTACGAATCAGCATCTTTTGAGTACTATTGGCTCGTGCCGAGGCGACTTTTATAAATGATGTAACCGAGTGGACTAATTTCAAAATTCAAAACAAGAAAAAATCACTAAATTTTTCAAACTCTTGCCTAAAGCTGACTATAACGATTAATTTTTGGAATATTGGTTTTATTTTGGAACTTTAGAACGTATCCCCTATGATTCCATACTAATTACCATTCCATATCCACGGTTTCTGTATTCGCGGCATATTTATGGAACGTATACCCCGCGAATAAAGAGCTTCTACTGTACGCTAATTTAAAAAGAAGAACTTTAAGATTTTCGTTCGTGTATTTAAGAAAACTCATACATTTATGAATTTTCAGCTCTATTCAGAGCGTTTAGAGTTTCGCATCGAATATGGGTAGATACATATTTTCATGTGGCAACATTATCGTCCATCAACCGCTTAAAAGTAAGTTGTTTCGTATGCAAACACTAAATGGGATGCAAGAAGAACTGGTCCCTTATGTGCCATCAGTCCGCATTTGCGAAGTTGAAGTTACCGAAAATGGCCTGCAGCTGACGAAAACTCCACTTTAACCGCTAGCTAAAGATCTTGAGGGTCTTTCCTGTTAAAAGCGTGTTTGGTGTCAAAACTTGCAGCACCGACTGTAGCTCGATTCCCAAAACCGCCAGTCCTCCGAGCGCTTATTCTGTAAACTTTGCCGTATCCTCACGAGACGATAGAGGCCGGATGCACTTACGTTACGTTTATCTCAGAGATAGATAGATAGATTCCCGGATAGTCTGCACTTTCTAGCCATGACGTTTAATGCACTCTCCTCGCAGTAATTCGCCCAGCTCCAACGTCTCGTTTCGAATTCCCGAACATATGAATAATAGAGGCGCTGAAGAGTAAAGTAAACTTCAAGTTGATGGATCGAAGAATCCTAAATTTGTGTCAGGATCACGACGCTCGTCTTTGCAGTGGTTTACATAAATACCTACTCCTACTTAACATACTGACACGACTATTGTCAAATTTATCGCACTAATGCTGTCCCGGTTCTCCAGATATTTTCTGTATCTGTTGCTAGTCAAAAAGAAGCCCCAACAATGCTGTAACTTTTCCTGGCCATTACCATTAAGTACATTCATGTAAAGGAATATGAAATACCCCCTAATTGCTACAACGTTAATTAATGCTGTTCCGATTCGAGTCTAAAGGTCATCATCGGATGGAGTTGCTTCCTCACGTTTCGCTAACACGAATGACATCGAAATGGAAAGACCTCTGAAGAATTTCGCCACTTGTGCTAGCGAAACGTTAGGAAGCTACTCCAACCGACGACGGATCAGGACAGCAACTAGTTCACCTACTGACTGACTACAATTTGAACAACGTCAATCTTCATTCTTCCACGAATTTTGACGAATTAGACTGGAGGACTCCCCAAGATAACAATAACAAAACATTGCCGGCAAGAAATTGACAAACAGTTAATAAGCAAGCCAAGAAATATTGCTTTAGTGCATATCACTAGTCACAAATAAAATCTAAAATATAACAGGTACCTACTGGCAACGTCCTGATATAACCCAAGATAAAAATGTTCAGTTTCTCAGAGTCTCTGAAAGCGAGACTCGAGTCTCTCATCGAGTCTCTCTGGTGTCGCTGAGAGAGACTGTCGAGAGACTGTCAAAAAACTGTTTAGCGTCTCTGAACGAGAGACTCCAATCTCTCAATAAGTGGTGTCTTAATAGACATGGTTAAAATTTTCTAAATTCAACATATTTCAGAGATCCCAGTCTTTCTACGAGAGACTCGAGTCTCTCAATTTTTCAGTTTTATTCATTCAGTCTGTGAGAGACTCGATTCTCGATAACAATTTTATCGTTCGAGTCTCTCACACAGAAACTGTGAGAGATCCATAAAAACACCTAGACAAACTGAAAGACTGTGAAAGACTGTGAGAGGCGCTCTCAGAGACGCTGGAAGAGTCTGAGAGACTGGGGAGAGACTGAAAATTTTTGTCTAGGGAAAATTATAACTTTCCTTGGTCACACTGAGCTTTCCTTTTGAGAAAGCGAACATCTCATCTAAACGATTCATACTTCGATTACTACTAACAAAAGTAAAGTAGATGACGCATATAAGTAGTTAAATATTGTTTAAATTTTATCTTTGCAGGTTGCAGCCCTATATTGTTCATAAAAGCCTCTCTATTAGTGCAAATCAATATTATTTATTAAATTTGGAAGCAGAGAGAGAATAAAATTAACGCAATTCTGATGAATTTAATAGTCAGTTTTAACAGACTAAAATCAAAATCTTTAAAATTAGTAGTAAAAAGAAATCCTACCTTTAGTAGCTTCGCATTTCGTGGTGGGCTACGTATAAGCAGTTGATCAAGCAAATAAACACTTATCGATCGTTTTAATCGTAAAATAGAAAGCACTCCCGTATTCGCACTAACGAAACAACAAATTACGATTACACGTGGAATACTGTAATATAAGAAACGAATATAGTTTATTCATTGATATCCATGTTCGTCACAAATACTCATCGATTACTGTTTTTTGTTTTTATCCCGTTAAACCGAACCCGTACACTCGCACTCCCGAAACAGTAAATTACGATCTCACGTGGAATACCACAAGAAACGATTATAGTTTATTCATTGATATCGATCTTCGTGATAATCGATTAGTGTTTTCTGTTTCCATTCTTGGAATATTTCCTGAAATGAAAGAAAATACGTGAATTACTGTTACAGTTTTTAGATGATCTTACAATTACATGACATTTGAGAAAAGTCTAACTTAACCTTACTTCTCTATATTTCTAAGCATGCTATTGTTTTTCCAATACTTTAGGAAAATACTACTTAAATATTTCATGAAACAGTGTTGCGGACATAAAATAACGCTTTGAGTATCGAAACAATGAATAATTTAAAACTATTTGGAAATACCTAATTATTAAGTGGTTCTTTAGGTAATTCCTTTTTTTTTAGACATTGATAAAGTTCTGTGATGTATTGGTCGGTTTAAAATCAAATACTGACTGTTTTATATGATTTTACTTGACAAAATGCAGTGCTACTGCAAATTCTTAAAATTCACCCGAGATAAAAATGTTCAGTCTCTCAGAGTCTCTGAAAGCGAGACTCGAGCCTCCGTCTCTCATCGAGTCTCTCTGGTATCGCTGAGAGAGACTGTCAAAAAGACTGTTTAGCGTCTCTGAACGAGAGACTTGACATATTTTAGAGATCCCAGTCTTTCTACGTAAAACTCGAGTCTCTCAATTTTTCAGTTTTATTCATTCAGTCTCTCTGTGAGATATCCATAAAAACACCTAGGCAATAAATGAGAGACTCTGAAAGATTGTGAGAGACGCTGAAAGACTCTGAAAGACTGTGAGATACTTGAGAGACACTGAAAATTTTTGTCTAGAGCAGGTAATTACCTAATAGATATCCCATAAACACATTTATATATTCTTAACGATTTCCGAAGTACCTAAATTAGATAAGTTACTTGAACATTTTGTATGTTTGCATTAGATATTATAAGATATTTTTTCTGTTGACCTTTATGGCCTGTGACCTAAATACGTAAATTACAATTGAAATTATCTGCGGTAGGATGGTAGAAGCAGTTAGGAAAGCGTAAGACTTTCCAGCTCCATAATTTCTTTCAGATGCTGCAATTCTATTAAGAGGCATTTGCCACAAACCTTTAGGACGTTGGCAGTAAATTCTTCTTTTTTTTATAAGTTTTCTTTTTCTTCGTACCATCGTTTCTATCCAACTAACTTTAAAAATTAAACGCACGAGCAAGTTCATATCTTTCCAGCAACCACACGGTCGCCACTCTGCTGTCCCACAATAATTCCATTAAGAGTATTATGGGGTGAGTAGACATTCATCAAATGGGGAGCGAAATGAGATGGGACATCGTAATATTTTAAGGCACGCCTTCGTAAAACGGTCGCCTGAAATTGGTTTCAAAACGAACGACTTTCGCCTTTACTTCGTTTTGTCGTTGATTTTATGTCCTACGTAGTACGTTCGTCAAGTGCCTTCAGCTTTTTACAATTGAAAATATATATATATATATTTATTTGTCATCGTGATAAAAAGTTCATTACAATCATCTTTTTTTGTGACAAAATAATGAACCAACAAGGCAACGCTTTACTACGGAAAAAATCAATTTTGGCGATTGATCTAAAGGAATTGAAATCATTGCTTTATAAAACTTTAAAATACTTTGAAAAAAAATGATTTGAAAGATTTATTTTTATTTATTGTCATCATCATAAAGTCGTCGGTCCTAAGACTGATTGGACACGTACCTCCATACAGAAAGAGCTAAATTTTTATGACAACGCAAAAATTACAATTTTCGATTGTAAATTTATTAGGTAACCTGTAATAATCTCAATTTTGACATGTTTCTTTAAAAATTATTACAAGTTTCTTAATAATTACAATTGAAATTGTAATATCAACTAAAATAGCTAGTAAATTTATTTCTGCTAGGATTTTATCTTTACAAATTCGGGTTTATTTAGTAATTTTTATTATTTTCGCTAGTGGGATAAATTGTAAATATCGCTTTAATGTTTAGGTAAATTTTAGTTTTTTATTTTCTCCGTGCACCCTTTCCTATCCTGAGATAATCTTTTTATGTCCCTAAAATTAGAACATCTCACATTCCTAACTATTTGTGAACAGTACCTACTTGTACTAATGTTATTGATTTCCATAGTACTCTCTGTTCTTCTACTAATGCTCTAATACCTCCCTTTTTCTAACCTTCTCTATTATCCAAATATCTAACTGAGAAAACTGTGATCAACTTTACTGAAAAGTGTATTTCAAATCTCTACAAAACATTCAATTATCTTTCATGAACGTAGAAATACTCATAGGACTTAACTTATGCCATGCCGAGTTTGGAAAGATTAATTGAACTAAATAAAACAAAAATTGTATTTGATATTCTTATCGAACCTTCAATAACTATCTTCTACCATTATAAGAGCAGTGGCAGAGGCAGTAGGTTCTTTTTGGTGATTTTCGCAAATAGATCTACCTTTGTACATTCATAAACTCCGTTTAGTTATTAATTCTTCAGCTTTTGGATTAAGAAATCAATTTTTATCGGTATTGCAATAAATTAGATACTGCTGTTTGACTATTTTGGATTTTTTCTAGACCAAGTCAAATAAAAACAGCAAAGAAGCAATAAAGAGTTCGATATAATGGTGGACGACTTATAATTTAATAATAGTGGCGTTTATATTTTTTGGGGTGATATCGAAGAAATTGAAACATGAACAAGTAAAAGGAAATAAATATATTGGTACTAGTTTCTTCTCTTAAACAACACAGTAGACTTCTATTAAATGCAGAAACAATTCAATTAAAACGGGACGCATTTGCTTTTATGCGACACAGCATGTTATCAGAACCAATTGAAGATAAACACCGCTTACTTGATGCACAATCCCTTAAATTTTCCTTTAATGTTTAAATTTTTAGAGTAAATATCACCAATTACTACCAACTTCAACAACTTGGGTCAATTGCGTTGTGGTATCAAAAATTTACACGTACCGTTTCGCCATAAACAACCATCTTCATACATTATTAAATAGATGAATGCAACAGCAATGCAGATACATTACTGTAAAACTTCCAGTCTCTTATTTTCTCGTAAAGTAACGGTTAAGGTATCATCCTGTTTGAATTTTTAATGCGATCCCCGATATGTGAACCGCTATTCCCTGAACTCAAACGTAATTATTCAATCAATTCACAAATCGCTATTAAATTTTTAAAATTGAATCAAACGAAAAGTTTACAGTACGACATCGTAATTTATCTGAAAATACTTCAAAATTATTACATATCCTTCAAGTAAATAATGGACGATTAATTAATAAATAATCTCGATCCTGTTCTGGGGATGGTGGATCAAACGTATGTATAATAAACAAACAATATAGCAACGCTGATGGTGTAAATGTCTGCCGGGTTCATGAAGTTTCATTATAAAAATTTTTATTGGGCAGTCACGCTCTGCCAGTTACAACGTAGAAGATTTCTAATAAAAGATGAAATTAATGAAAGTTATCTGTTATTTGCTGCGAGAAATCTCAATTACAGTTGCTACACGTTAAAGATCTAATGGCCTCTAGAAGATTAATCTTTGAAGGCTTAAAAATCAAAGGGCACAACGACAAAGAGTCTGCAGTGAAAATTATTACCTGTTCGTTATAACCCAGCATCACTGTATTGTAAATTTCATTGTTATTTACTTTTCTCACTTGCTGCAGACACCGCATTGAAGTTTTTTCAGTAAAATTAATTTCATCTCGTCTAAGTTTTGATTTCTATACGAATTAAGTAACCAATTTCCATTGGCGTAACAACAACTGTTTCCTAGGAGAGACTAAATTTTCAACTCTATCTAACATTAGTAGTTGTAAATGTTAATTATTGTAGATTTATTTTCTTATTTGTACTCGAATATTAATAGATATTCTAGGGTACGCCAGGAGGGTTCTAGGGATCTATGCCCCCCTTTGCTACGCCAATGTCTATTGCTTTCTAGTTTTACGCTTAGTTCCAAAACGTTTGCATCTTTATCTTTTCTTTATAACAATACTTTCTTATTAAAATTAGATAAAAGAGAAGCTATAAACGATATTGACGGAAATTGTATCTAAGGTGGAAGAATAAAACTGAAATACTCTGAAGGTAAACTATAAAAGGTCTATTCATTTCCGTTTAGTATTCGACTATTTGATCGGGTCGTAAAATAAATAGCGAAGGATGCTCAGGAATGTTTAATATTATAATGGTAACCGTTTAGTATTCATGGCTTTTCTATTATACAATCTTGTGATTCATTTTATGTAGGTAATCGTAAAAGAAGCCCACGCTGTTCCCCTTTTTGTACCCAATGTATCCACTTTTATAAAAAAATAGTTTACGACTTACCCGATAATGATCATCTTTAAAACCATAATAAGTAGAAAGTCTTACATAAAGTGATGTCTCTATGGTGGAGTTATCAGATTCAGGTGGAAAATCCTTTAAAAAAGTTTCATTCGCTTCGGCATATACTGGGCTATGCGACCGTTAAGATCCGCTAGGAAACGTCGGAATGGGTGGTTAAGGGGAAAAAAAAGGGACCGACGAAATGAAGACGTTGTAAGAGGTCCACTGTTCAATATTACTATTCCTGCATCTGCCTGCACGATCAAAAAAGGAAAACAGACAAATGAACGCGGAATTGAGCCAGTCGGTGTCCCGTGGATGTTAAGCTATTGTAAAAAAAATTGTAATATAACTCTGCTTATTTGAATAGGCCTTGTATATAAACTATATATGTACACTTTTGTATTTTAGCGATTACTTATTAAATAAGCGAGATAGGACATCATCTCAGAGATGAAGGGATTATTAGAGACATATTAGAAGTAGAAACAGGACTGAAGGGGAGTAGAGGTAGTACTAGAGTAGATTACTGTTCATAAATAGTTAAAAGTTAAGAATATGGGATGTTCTAGTTTTAGGGAGATTCGAAGATTAGTTTAAGATAGGAGAAAGTGAAGGCGCGTCCAATCAGTATTAGGACTTACGACTTTATGAGGATGATGTATTAATATCACTTATTTGGATTTAGTTTTCGCCCTACTTGGATCACCTGTTACATGTTTATACAGTTATCAGAGATTTCTGATATTTCCGAAAACCTTTCATTATATTTTTTATCGAAATTATCTATGTGTTGCCGCGTATAATTTATTACACTCACTTGTCTAATTGATAGATACTATTCTACTGCACTAATCTCGTCAGTAGGTTTAGACATAATCTCGTTTAAGGGCCAATAGTATTCTGTTCCGTTTGGTGTTGTTTTTCATGTACCAACTATACCTAGGCCGATTGCAACCTGTTCCATTTCCTGATTCCGACCAAAACCCTAGCATATAAATTTATACCGTCTCGTTATCGTTATTGTGTACGTTAGTCGAAAGATTCCATGGCGAAAGGGTTGTTTATTACTAATAGTCGACGCCATAAAATTAATAATTTGTATTAAGAAATACCACTGCTTATGAAACACATAATTTTAAACGTATAGCCTAAGTTTGTAATAGTATCTATATTTAAATAATTTAAAATTAGTTTCATAATAGTTTTATTATAACAAAACAGTGTAGATGATTAAAAGATAATGAAAGATAAACAATTATGAAATTAGTTTGCAAATTTAGCGTGTTAGAAATGCTAAACCTCACCTCACAAAATGAAAAACGCGGTAATTCAAATTTCTATCAGCTTTTGTTAACAAAAGCTTTATATGTGTACTTGTTTTCATGTTATTTATAAATACATAAATACTATAATTACTACAAACTTAAAAATACTAGGACGACTAATAATCAAGTGATTTTTAAAAATAAATATTTAGATTTTAGAATTACGATAAGAACTTTATAATAAAAATAAAAGTATAATCTGTTTGGAGAAAAATTCGATAGAATATTATATTATCATGAAATATTTTTATCTAGAGACCTTTTAAAACTAGCGTCATGTAGCATTCGCAACTTTATATTAAATTATTGAATGTTCTGTCTAATTTACTAAAACAAACGATACAATCATTCCAATTTTTCAGTTCCAGGAAGAAGTTTGAATTTACGACAAGAGAGGAGCGGAGAGAACCTAATCCGAGTTTATTGTACGGCTGAAGGGGTTTTCCCGATTCCTGAAATGACTCTTTTACAGGGTGAAAGGTTCGTAAATCATCATTTTGTTCCACAAAATGCTATTATTGTTTTTATTAGCTATTAAACGTTTATTGCTCAAATACGTCATTATATTTATTTGAAGCCGCTCAACTTGAGAGATATTGTTAAAATGAAACAAACCACTAAACCCTCAATAACTATTATGTATCTGAAATACCGATATTTTAAAAATAACAAAATTTTACAACAATGTACAGACCTGACGCTGGAAGCTGGCGAACGGTCGCGCAGGTACTTGCCCATTTATGACCTATTTGGGTAGGTCACTCGGAACCAATACACAAATAAGCTTTCACATATTTATTTTGAATATTTAATCTACGCCGCTGATAGGAATACTGAAGAAAGAGGGCTGCAATCGTTATACCTAAAAAAGACCGATATTTTTAAAAATAACAAAATTTTACAACAATGTACAGGCCTGACGCTAGAAGCTGGCGGAAAATTTAAAATGACGTTTTAGGTATCACGATTGCAGCCCTCTTTCTTCAGTATTCCTATCAGCGGCTTAGATTAAATATTTAAAAATAGGGATCAATGAGTAAGTAACAGACATACAAACAGAAGAACTAATTGTTGATGTTGGTGACAGTGGTAGAGATTCCCATGATGACAGTGAATGTGAAACCTAACTATAAAACAGAAGCAATAGGTTAAAATTTTCCTTTTGGTAGGTTATGTTTCTACATTATTTTCTACTACGCTACTGTCCTATCTGTATTAATACTACTATAATTTACGCCTACTGAAAGCCTATTTGTGTATCGATTCCAAGTGACTTACCCAAATAGATCATAAATGGACAAGTACCTGCGCGACCGCTCGCCAGATTCCTACGTCGGACTTGTAATCATTTTGTAAATGGACATGTAGTTAGTTTCGCTTTTGGGTTCATCCTAAAATTGGTATAACTTGTAATACTTTGCTGTTACTGACTCAAATCGTACCTCTTTAAACTTATGTAAAATAATTTCTTTCGGTTTTTCTATTGTCCAGCGAAATAGCCGGTCGGCGGATTCACGTTCCGTGTGCAAGGGGCCTTAGAATAATTGTGAATAAATCTTTCTAATGTTACGAATGCAAATTAAAGTAGTGATATATAGGAGCATAATAAAAACTGGATGTAATTTTGAAACCCTTTTTCTTTGCAGCGAAATAAACGATTCTGTGGTGACGATAGAGAAAAAGGGAGGTCTGTATAACATCAAGGCATTCACAGATCTGCCCCGCTTAGCGTCTGCAAAGGAATTCTCCTGCGAACTTCGAATCCCACAGGCCAATTATACCGTCAGGAAAGAAGCCGTCTACTACCCGAGTAAGTCCAACTTTTCTTTCCTTCCCTATTTCACCTCTACATGACCGGTTTTTTTGCGAAACTGATGAGCTTTGTGCCAAGGGAATGACAAAGATCTCAGTGGCTTTAGTAGAAAACTTATCTGCACTAAGGCAGCAGTAACTAAGGCGTAGGAGATTGGCGTTCCTTTCTTTTTCACTTCGATGCTTCTTTAGGGGCACAATTTTCAAAATCAAATCCAACAAAAGAAACTTTTGCCTACTTTTCTGAACTAAATATCTGATAGAGAAAAAAAAATAATAACCTGCCTCCTACATTCGTTAATGAACTTTGCTATCTCTCAAATGGATTGACATTGGGACAAAATTGAAAGGAATTTTGTGATGCTTTAGAAAATACTTATTATATTTTGATTTCATTTTCTGGTGGACTCATATCAGGTATGATGCTTTCATTTATTGCACTAAATTTCAGCTTTTTACTAACTAAGTCTCAAAATAACGTCGAAAATAAATACCTTGTGTATAACGTAATCTTGTATTTTATCACGTACTAGCGACCCGCCCCAGCTTCGCACGGGTGCAATGCTGATACTAAATGTGTATATTTTTGTTTTGTTTAGATTATTATCGAGAAGGGGAAATCTTCAAAAGACACCCCCTGAACATACTAAATATACTACAGAATGTCTTTATATACAAGATTCACAATTTTTTTGTCATTAGACAATACAAACCGGCCTCACGACCGGTACCGCCGCAACCGCTATGTCCCTGTATTTTAAGTCTGTAATATCTTCGAAAATATTCATTTAAATTACATGCTGTAAAGGGCCATATTGATCTATATTTTTAAATACAAAGTACTTGGATAAGAATTAATGCTGTATTGCCTACAATCGCTTCGTAAATAAGTCATTATTACTCATAAAAATTAAAGGATAAAAATGGTTATTGTGGGTTATCCCTAAGAGATAGACATATACCATCCCGGACTTTTTCGTAGACCCTTAAGATGTACAATATTGTAGTACATTATTTTGATCTATCTCGTAGGGTTCAGCCAGCGTTTGCAATGTAAGCGCAAAAAATGTGTTTATTTACGACATCACATTAGAAACCTCTAAAATTATTATCAGTGTTTCCGTATTATATTATGCATGTGTTATACATATAAACCTTACTCTTGAATTACTCTATCTTTTAAAAAAAACCGCATCAAAATCCGTTGCGTAGATTTAATGATTTAAACATACATAGGGACAGACAGCGGGACTTTGTTTTATACTATGTAGTGATGTGCTTTTAGTAATTATCTCTTTACATTTGTTAATATATTTGAATAAATATTTGAAAATTTTAACAAATATGTACATCCCATCAAATGTATATTACCTTAAGGCCCTTCTAGGGCCACCTGCTATAAGTAAAGAATGTTGCTTTCTCTATAATAAAATGGAAAAGCGGAAAATATTCTTGTGAAAGAAAATCTCTGTTCGCTTGTCTATTTTATATTGCGTTGAAAGGAATTTCATTTCAGGTTCTAATGTTTGGGTTGTCGGGTAGATAAACTCAAAAGTTTTAAAGTCGGACAGTTTTAAACGAACGCATTTGCATAGATATCTTATTTCTATCTACATACATGTTGTTCTTTTTTCCAGATGGCAGTCGCTGTTTCAATGAATCCACTTCCGTTCTTGTGGCAGTATGTTTCGCTTCTGCCTTTGCTATCCTTTTCGGTAAGTGAACTTTTCGAACTAATACTTTTCATCCTTTTTTTTGCACGAAACAGTTTCAGTGTTCAAATTTACTTTACACTCATTCTGTTGTTTTTCAAAATTTATTTTCAGCTTTCATTTTTTCTAATTTATAATCATCAGTATAAAAAGGGACGTTTTTAATTGATAGTTGACGAAAAAACATAAAATGAAAGTAAATGAAGAAAGTGGGACCTGTTTTCTAAACTTTTTCTTTTAATTAATTAATAAATGTATTAGACAGATTTATAAGTACCAAAAATTATTTAATTTCTAACCATGGTGCTGACCCTTGTTGATGTGTTTGAATTTGGAAAATACGACAAATGGCGCTGTAAACGCCATCTGTAGTACAGTGCTACATTTTAGGATTACGTATGCTTCAGCAAGGTCCATTTAAATATATGGATATCTACTTGCTGAAACGAATCCCGGTGTAGCTCACCTCAACGTGGTAGGCACGTTACCATAATCGAATAAAATAATTCGAAGTGGTCCGTATTCTGTCGAAACTGCCAGAAACATCAGCGAGTCGCAGTCTGGCAGTTTCGACGGACCACTTCAAATTATTTTATTAGTATTTAAATTTGCTTAATGACCTCTGAGTATTGTATAATTATTTTTTATAATTTTGGTTTCCAATTTTTGGAATCGTTTTATTTAATATTTACTTCTTTTTAATTTGTTTTATTGAAATGTATATATTACAGCTGAAGTAGTTGAAACAGATTTATCCAACTAAACATTAGGCACGTAAAAGAAATGAAAACTAAAAATTCTCGTGATCATTACACATTTTTAATTCCACATCGGTATTCGTGTTGCGTTGAATTTGGGAATTTGTATATTATACAACAGAATTCACAATTGTATTACCGAAACAATTCTTCGGCTAAACCCAAGCTGATATTGTGAACTCTAGCATTTATTTGGGTCACTGCATCACATCTCGCATGGATGCAATATAAAAACAAATGTCCTGTTTATTATCGTTACCGACAATGTTAGCCTTTTTGGGATGAATTTATGGATTATGTAGCTTTTTGTATTTCCATAGTTTCTATTTATTTAAAAATGGAAACCTATGAACTCTCGTTTCCATCCGTTTTAATTTGGACGGCTGTACTGTAAATTGACATTCAGGTTTGTCAGAAATTCTAAATTCATATGCTATCTAGCTTACCGAACAATCTAAAAACGTAAAATTGCAATTTTTATTTTTATTTGATTATTGTTATTTTCCATTAGAGTGCATCTGAGCATAAAATTACGAAAATTTTAACAAGGAATTGAAGGCTGCGTCTATTATAGGTTTTAAGCATTCTTTTTATTAAAAGAGAATTCACACTTTATTGTCATGTTTTTATTTACCCTCGAAAATCTAAGTGTAGTCGTTTTTATCTTTCTTACAGGATATTTTCTTTTTCTTACAGGACCTTTCGCTTGATTCTCTTCGAATACTTCACACATTTCGTGTGTTATAATATTTTGTAAGTTGATGTCAAGATTTTGTATAAATAAAGTAAATGTATGATTGTTAACACTTCGTTTTATTTTAAACTATCGTTTATACGATACGGTTTTGTTTATTCTTTTATATTACATTTTTTTTATAAATTTTGTACTCATAGTACACAACGGAACGAATGGCGAAATCTATGAACTAAAATTTAAAAATAAACCAATTAATATCATAAAATCCCTAAAAGAAAGCTTGGATAATACTAATGCACAATAAATTTAATGAGATGGTTTTGTAAAAACATTTCATTGCATACTAATTATAATTACCTACTTTAAATTGATTAGGTACAGTAATTCTCCGTGCGTTGACTAGAAACGTAGGAGTGAATTCAAATCATCGTAATTAACTAATGTATCTCCGCTGAAAGGCATGTTTGTTCAGTGTTGTCAATTAAAAAGTTTGAATATTGATTAGTATAATATTTGTTGTCATTTCACCACAAATATAATTTAGATCGGACTTACCGAAACTATTATCACATTTTAAAAGAAATATTCATTCATAAATTATCTAGAAAATTAGTTTTTTTGTTATTTTTATAGAATTGGAAATTAAAAATAGTCAATTCTCAATTTAAATTACTTACTTGTTTATTGATCAATATGGAAAAAACATATCACTGTCATATCAGAAGAATTTCACAGTAATAATTGTCCATGGGTTAATCCAATAAAAAATAAAATATGCTACCACGAGCATCAACGAGACTTGCAAAATTTAAAAAGCAATTGTAGCGAATTTAAAACTCGAACAACTCGTTAACTATTCCATTAATGCTAACGTTCGTAAGCTAGTGTTATCTTAATTGATTTAATTTTATATTTGTGTTTCATCGCTAAAACCAACTCAATTTTTAACGTTTACTGTTTGTATTGGGAATGTATCCATGCTAAAGCTAATCGTCAATTATTACTGAAATGTTAGGTGTCCGAATCGACGATAAACGATAATTAAAATCGACAATTCAAATAAAAGTTCTGACCGTTTTAATCGAAGTAATAAAATTTTTAGTTAATTAACAACCAAAAACATATTTCCATTGCTTATACAAAAGTAGTAAAAATAATGAAACAACAAACTAAACTGACATAACAGAGAGTGCAAAAAGTAGTAAACTACAGGAAAAAAATTGGGAATCACGTACTGTTAATTATAACATTTTCAGATACACTGTTCATATTTTTTTATCATTAAAGCACAGCATAAATATATTCTACACAGTAGGTTCACTCCCTTGATGCTTTGTCTTGTACAGTCTATTTCAATTTGTTAGAATTGTGACCTTGAAGAAATCTGGGCGAAGATAGAAAGAATACACACTACGCATGAGCAAGACAGAAATAGTAAGAACAAGTTTGAACGAGCAGAGCTCTCGATGGGCGGTGTTACGAGATCGGCTAGAACCGTACAGTACTAGACGAAAATGTTTATCAATTTCTTAAAACAAAAACGTATATAAATTAACAATAGAAAACAAAGCAAAAGTTTTATAGGTGTGTAGAACGTTAAGTCTATTCACTTGTTATTATTTTTGGCTAAATATGCCTTTAAATAAAGCATATTCTTAAATTTTAACGAGGCAGTTTAAATAATTTTGCAAATGGTACTGTAACTTTTGTCTAGTTTTCGCTCGATGATCGGTGTAGAAATGAGCTCCGCAGACAAATATGATTGAATTTGGAATTATGCTACGGCACATTCTAAAAAAAGGGAAGGGGCATACCTCCAACTTCTTGAAACGAACAGTACAGCAGTACAAATATGTATATTTTGTATTTATGTAATTTGCTAGAGATATTGAACCGTTCGCATACGTATGGAGTTGACTTATGACCGCCTATAAAAACGCCGGCATTTCAGGTCAGACAAAAGGAGTAATCCTATTGTATTATCAACATAAACATAACCCCATTCTAGTATCTTTAAAGGTTCTCTGTGTAAACAGTTATTAATAATCATTTTTGTATGCAATATCTTCAGAAAAAATATGGAATATTAATACGTCAAATTTAACGTTATAATAGACTGACATAGAAGTAACTGTTTAACAGTTCCACTTTTACCCTTTCATATACAGTATTCTCAAATGAAAAAAAAAACGAACACAAGGTATCTACGTCTTGTTCTTCACGTCAGGCCACCAGTGTCATTGTGATTTGTTGGAGAATAGAAAATAGAGAGGTTTGAAAAAAGAAATGATTGGGATCTCTTACAATTGGAACGCGAGACAAATAGTACGAAGCCAATAACAGGAAACGAAGGTATATTGACTTTGCCCGCGTTACACATTAAACAGTAAGAGATTTCACCCTTCGGCCATCGTATTGACGATAGCGCGGTCATGGCGACGGTGGCTGTGATCGAGGTACTTATTTCTTGCTCTTTACTGACGTAAAGCTAAAAGGATCTGCAGTTTTCGATATATAGGCAAGCTGGAAATAAATGGCACCTCGCGGGATGCACAAAGAAAAATTTATTGCTACCGTTTCGATTAGTCTACTCACGTTTTTCATTACCTTGAATTCGCTTTTTATTGAATGATATTTTTCTTATAAAGTAATAATATTATATTTTGCTAACAGCTAATCACCTTGCGCGTTAAAAATACGAAACATTACAATTTATATTCCCCCAACGTCCGCTTCATAACCCAAAAAAAAGGAAACAAATATGAGTCCCAAAAGTTTAGATGTGAAAGTCGACTTATAAAGAGCAACATTGGGGTGGCCAACCCAAATTATTTTGCCTCTTGCGGGCCACTTTGCAAGTAAATTGTATCTCCATTAAATCTAGATTTAGACTCTTTATAGGGTTTTTTTTGAATTCATAGGTGAAACAAACAATCAAAAAAACGAATCACAGTTAATTTTTGACGTGACAACGTCTTATAATTCGATGGAGCCGGCTGCACGCACAAAAAAACATGACTCATGCGGCGTTACCTCGCTCTGAGGCGTTCCATTTAAGGCTTGAAGTGCAAGCGAGAGCGTGGAACTAGCGTCAAAGAGGCACAATCGGCCTCCGCGTTCGGCAGCGTTCGACATCTGTCTCTCTCCTACTTGAGTGAGCGATGCGTCCGCGTGGACAGCTGCTATACAATAATACATTTCCATTTACCTCCTTCTCTATATCCATACAAAATATCTATCAAACAAATAAAATTAAAACTTTCTTTTGAAAAATGAAACCATTCCATCAGTATTTTCTTATGACGTTGTCACGTTCAACTATCGTCAGTAAACCGACTTCACAGACAACCGATTTTTTCTCATAATTTCGACAGTTAAGTTTTGAACATACCGATGCACAAATAATCTATTCTTTTAATACATTGGATTCTATGGATCGTAGATGGATCGTGTGCCCTGTTTCGATCCGATACCACTTTGTTATTAGGATCAGAACAGTGCCGGATAATTCTACCACAGAAAATCATCCAAAAAGTGTAACCAAAAGCTATCTAATGAAAATTGTATATTATGATTGTATTGAGATAGGTCGTTTGTCCTAATTTGTACTATTTATTGATTACTGTATTAAATAATTTGTTATTTCGACATAGTTCTTGTGTTTACTTTTTCCCGTGAATGACTGAACTGTTATAATGTCTGTCACTTTTTGGAATATCATAACGATAACTTTGATGATGACTTTGTCACCTTAGTGGTCTTGCCGGCACAGCTAATGCCGCGTACCCGGTTATCCGACACGCGACAAAAGTTTATATAACTTTACCCATTATATAAGGTTGTTCGGAAAGTCATTTCGTTTTGTCCCGACAGAGGATTTAATTGTATTCTTTTGCACCCAACTTCACATTTAAGCCGTATAATTTTTATATGCTTTGAGAGCTCATATAGCAAGGCTTTTGTGTGAAAAATTCCAATTAATTCAACGCAGTAGTTTTTGGTTGGTGCCCTTTTAAATATGGAGAGCGATAAGCTGCATTTTCAACATATCTTACTGTTTTACTACAGAAAGGGTAAAAAATACTGTTCATGCCAGAAAGAAATTGACTGATGTGTATGGAGAAGGCGTGTTGACAGTACGCCAGTGCCAGAACTGGTTCGCTAAATTTCGATCCGGCAATTTTGATGTCGAAGATGCACCACGTTCGGGAAGGCCGGTTGAAGCTGATAAAGACGCGATAAAGGCATTAGTTGATGTGAACCGGCGAATAACAACACGTGAGATCGGATTGAGGTTAAATTTATCAAATTCAACAGTTTATGACCACTTGAAAGGCCTGGGATTATCCTCGAAGCTCGATGTATGGGTTTCCCATGTTCTCACAGAGAGAAATGAAGCTATCACTTGTTGTAATTCCATATTTAATATAGTTTGAAAATTATTCTTAATGAGTGTATCTGCTCATTCCTATGCCACAAATCATTTAATGCTCACTCGGAAGCTAAAATATATCATCCAGTTTTACCTTCACAAGGCGTCCATTATATTAGTATTGAAATTTTATAGGAAACCTTGTAAGCAATAATTTACCTGAAGGCTGGAAGTCTTCAAAGTACAGAGAAATTGTCTAGACTGAATAAGGATAAATAATCTAATTAAACTATCGTATTTAGCTTAGACGATGACTTTAATCGTAAGTATTATAGTTTTAATATCAAATTTATTTAAACTGATTAGTGTACTACATTGGCTTCTTTCTTGTCACGTTATCAATACATGTTTCTACAAAAACGGATGATAATTTCTAATAACCCTGAATGTAAGTTCAAAACTAAAACGTTTAATATATCAGAAATGTAGTAATTTAGTTAGGATTCCCGTGCCAAATGTTTTGCTTCATCTGATTAGTTTAAATTTGATGCGAGATTAGTGTCTTTCGTGTTTAATTTCCACCAAATAGTAATACAGTCAATCCGATTTTCATTCTCGTACAAAGCCGAAGGATAGGGCGGAAAGTCCTACCGAGTCTTCTTTTATAAATCGTGGAAACAGAAAGGTAGTGGTTAGGATGAAGCAGATAAAACAGACGAAATGGAAAAAGTAGAA